GGGCAGGTTTTAAGATCGCCAGCGGGAATACAGCAGGGCCATCACTTCAGCCAAAAGACGCTGCTAGAAGAATTTTTGCGAAAGCATTGAAAGTCTTCCTGAAGTGTCCAGGCTCAATAAAATTCTGAATTCCGATAGCTGCTCGCCAATGGGCTATCTCAAGCACTCTGACGGGCACTACACGGAAAGTTTCACTGAATCTCTCACTCTTCTTATGGAGACTCACTTTCCAGGTTTTCAACCTCTTACGACAAAACACTCTTTGCCCCTTATGCCCACACCTAGGGTAGGTTATGTACCTAAGGAATGCACTAGCGGCAAGAGTGGTGTACCCGGAGGGTGTAATATGGGCGGTTTGCTCCTTTGACCCCTATAAGGTACCGGAGTTGAACGGCATCTATCCCATTCTCCTGCAAAAAGGGCTAGACCTCCTAATAGGCCCCCTCACCAAAATTCTCAGAGCAAGCATAGCACTGAGACACATTCCACCGGCGTGGAGCGACATTAAAGTCTGCTTCATTCCCAAACCAGGGAGAAACGGCCATATTCTGACAAAAGACTTCAGACCCATTAGCCTCACTTTATTCATATTGAAGACATTAGAAGAACTGGTTAAGAGTTTTATTAAACAGGGCCCCTTGCTCATAAGCCCCTGTCTTCATGTCAATACGCCTACAGGGAGGGAAGATCCACAGACACAGCCCTACATCATTTTGTGGGCAGCATTGAAACGCAACTTACGGCCAAAGGCTACGCCCTGAAGGTCTTTCTAGGCATTATGGGAGCTTTTATAGCACTCTTACCCAGTGATGAGAAAGCCATGGTCGATCATGACATTCAGTTGCTATTATCGACTGGACCCTTAGCATGCTAACGGGAAGAATTCTTACTGTCAATCAAGGAAATTTGACTTTAAAAAAGTTCCCCACAAAAGGCTGCCCGCAGGGGGGAGTCTGTCTCCACTCTTGTGATGCCTAGTGGTGGATAAACTCTTAGTCAATTTAGGGAAAACCAGTCTTTGGGTGTTTGGCTACGCGGACGACGTGGCCATTATACTGAGGGGCGGTTTTCTTTTCATTCTCAAGGAGCTTATGGACAAAGCACTCAAAAAGGTACAAGACTGGTGCACGGCCAAAGAGCTTACGGCTAATCCAAAAAGACCAAAGCCATTATCTTCACCAGGAAGTATAAGTTAGAGCACATTGACCCATTGAAGCTCTGGAATACTGAAATACAGTATGCCACCTCCATTAAATATTTGGAGTCTACCTTGACCCCAAATTGAACTAGAGTTATCATCTTGAAACTAAGAGAAAAAATTTTACATTTTATTTGGACATGCAGGAGGAGCAACTTGGGGCATCAGGCCTAAAGTTGCCCTCTGGATATACAAAGCTATTCTGTTGCCTAGATTGATGTACGCTGCGGTGGTCTGGTGGCCGAGGGTTGAAAAGATGGAGGCAAGGAACCTACTGAAAAGCCTACAGGGTAGTTACCTAAGGTTGGCAGTAGGGGCCATGAAACCATACTACGGAGGCGCTGGAGGTGGCTCTCTGTATTCCTCCACTCGGTCAAAGAATCATTGTGGAGCCAAAGTTACGGCCTACAGGCTCTATTGCCAAAGAATGAAAGTGCGCCAGCCCTAGTACAGGCTGGACTTCTCTTCACCTCCCTTTCTGAACAGGATGTGAGAAACAGACAAATAAAATGGAATGAAATGGAACTTATCTAAGTATTGATTGTAGAAAAGACAAGGATCAGTCAAAGATTCTTATGAACAGGTCAACAAACAGAAACGTAAGACAAACAATAGAATGAAAGGAACCGATTTGTCAAAAACCATTAATTAAGCTGTAAGAAGACAATATTGTATGGATAAATTTCGTGTAAACCAAGGTTAAGCGTCAAAATAAGCGTTAGAGCGTAAGAACCGCTTTTCAACTGTTATTCCCCGCCAGCGAGGCAAGGACAGAGTTATCAATATTGATCGGTTGAGTCATCGCTTGGACCGCGTGATTTGGTTCCTCGCTCGGTCGGAAATCAATACCGGCCATCGTGAGTCTTCGCAAAAACGAGCGTCCCCTCCAAGAGGTTCGTGTCGAGATCTCGCGCCTCTGCGAAGAACGCCCCGACTCTAAGCGTTCTCTTCTTCGTCAAACTGTAAAGTTAGCGACACCGAAAATCAGAACGACTACAGATCGGTTGAGTAATTTCGGAAATGACTTCTAAGACTGAACGTGCACTCGATAAATAAACTAATTTGTGATACTGCATTAGGAGTGTTATCTCTCGAAAGTCCTCTTGTCATCGCAAATACTGGTCTCGCTGAAAACTACCGGTGCTCGCTACGACGGTTCGTGTTGCTGACCACGCGTGTCACGATCGGCAATCTCACGGATCCAAGGGTGGCTCGCTCTCTGTCGCCCTCTCAATCAGCTGCTCAGTCCTTCACGCTCTTTCTGAGCGAGACCGGCGTCCGCGGTCAACGCGAAGAAAAAAAAAGGGGAAACCCACTTCGCTACGCAACATTGTTGGTCCTTCGAGCCGGATCGAAGGAATTGTGTAAGCTCAACGACCTTGAAAGTGACCACTGTGACGGAGATCTGACAACATCATGAGTAAGCAGTTGCTTGCCAAGCAGCAGTCACAACTGCACTCGGTGGCGCGAGCTCTCCGAATTTTAAAAAACTCGGAAAGAACAATTATACGCCAGCGCTAATTCGATCGCGACTGACGGGACTGAAAGAAGCTTGGGCGCTGTGCACGGCCTCTCACGCTGCGCTGGTACATGTCTTCCCAGGGGCCAAACGGAAGGACGTCGGCTACTTCGACAATGCGGAGTTCGAGGAACACGAGGAGATCTTCCAGAGGACGGCGACTACATGACGAATGCCTCGAAGAATTGGAGCCTCCTCTCAACTCAACTCCATTGGCAAGTCCACCGGCGTTCGGTAATCCCTCCGCGTTACTCTCCTTGTCGCACCTACCGTCTATCAATATACCCCTGTTTTCGGGAACCCATAAGGACTGGGAGAGTTTCGCGATCGATTCACGTCGCTCATAATTAAAAATACAGAGTTAACTGCATTTTCCCGCATGCATTACTTAGCGTCTAGTCTCTCGGGCGTGCTCTGGAATCGATACAAACTGTCCCAGTCACCGCCGACAATTTTGAAGTCGCTTGGCGATTGCTAGTTCGCACTACGATAACAAACGGCGACTGGTCGGCGTGCATGTCTCCGCGCTATGCAACCTGCCGGCCGTCACGCGCGAATCGGCCGTCGAGCTTAGCGAACTCCAGGATAAAGCCAATCGAGCTATTGCGTCGCTCAGAAATCTCCACCGTTCGTCAGACGAAATTTTAAGTGATGTCCTAGTTTATCTCGTCACTCAGCGGCTTGATCACGCCACGCACAAGGCGTGGCGATTGAAAGGAGGCGATGATGCCGCGACTCCAACATTCGAGGACTTAGATAGATTTATCTCCGCGCGCGTGCGAGCCTTGGAAGAACTCACGCCTCATAACGCGGCTAAGTCCACACGTCCGTCAAGATCCGCTTCCGTGAACGCCGCTACCACGTCTCCAGTCTCGTGTCCGATTTGTAAAGCGAGTCATTACTTGAGTAAGTGTCCGCAATTTATTAAGAAAGGTCCGAGTCAACGCATGGAGTTTATCAAACAGCACCAAAGGTGCATTAATTGTCTCAGTGCGAAACACGCCTTGTATTCATGCCCAAGCCAATACACTTGTCGCCGATGCCAGAAAAGGCATCATTCGATGCTCCATGTTGATTCAGGCTCATGCGCTACCGCCTCGGTAGTCACTGCTGAATCGACTCCGCCGGTCAAAGCGAGAGGTAATCGCGGCGCGGTGGCGTTGTTTGCTTCGCAAGAATTATCGCATCGAACTCCGGTACTCCTTGCGACGGCGCGAGTCACGGTTCGTTCACCGGCGGGTCGCGACGCGAACGTCCGAGCGTTGCTCGATCCGGGATCGGAGATAACCTTCATGTCCGCTCGGCTTGCGCAAACCTTAAGACTGCGTCGTTTCCAAGATCAGTTTTCACTCTCTGCCATCTGCGGTCTTAAAGCGGGTAACTGCAAGTTTGCAGCTCAAATTACGATCTTGCCGCAAAATAAATCTGAGCCGAGTCTCACAATCACTGCGTCGATTTTGCCTTCACTCGCTGATTACAATTCGGGGCTCGATCGAGCCAGGTGCAACTGGGATCATCTCGCGGATCTCGCTCTAGCAGATCCTCACTTCAATGGTTCTAATCCCATTGAGCTCCTCATCGGCGCCGATATCTATGGCGAGATATTCCTTGGCGAAATGCGGAAGGGACCCGCGGGCAGCCCTATGCATTAAATACCATTTTTGGATGGGCAGTATCCGGCCCTACAAGTGTGTCAATTCAATCCCGCCGAACAATCACTGTTCAACATTGTTCGGCCTCAACGTCGCTTGCGCTCGATCGCGAACTGAGAAGATTTTGGGAGATCGAGGAAGTTCCGCGACAGACTGTACTCGGCCCGGAGGAACAACGATGCGAGGATTACTTCATGACCACTCATTCGCGTTGTTCCGACGGCCGATACATTGTGCGCCTTCCATTTAAACGTGATCCTCCCATTAATGTCGGTCGTTCTCGCGATACTGCTGAGCGATGTCTAAAAAGCTTACTTCGACGCTTTGAAATTAACGCCGAGCTAAAACAACAATATTTCAATTTCATGCGGAATACGAAGCTCTGGGACACATGCGAAAAGCCTCACCTCTCAGAATCCTCTCAGTGCGTGTATATTCCTCACCATCCCGTCTTTCGCGACGGTAGTGCGACACGCACTTGCGCGTGGTATTCAATGCGTCGAGTCTAACGTCAAGCGGGAAATCGCTTAATGATAATTTGCTTCCAGGACCGAAACTACAAACGGACTTGGCGGCGGTCGTGATGCGATGGCGACAGTTTCGCTACGTATACTCGGCCGATGTCGAGAAAATGTATAGGCAGATCGTCGTTGATCCGCGTGACACAGATTATCAACGCATATTATGGGTGGATACCGAGACGGAGCGCATGCAAGATTATAAGCTCTTGACCGTGACGTACGGTATGGCGTCGGCGCCGTTTTTGGCGTTACGAGTGCTGCGCCAACTGGTCCGCGATGAAGGGCATTCCTATCCGTTAGCCGTGTCCGTCCTGACGGATAACATTTATGTTGACGACGTCTTGTTCGGCGCCGACGATATCCCTCTGTTTCGGCAGGCGCGCGAGCAAGTATGCTCACTGCTGCGCTGCGGCCAATTCAATTTGCGCAGTGGTCCAGTAACTCGTCGGCTCTTCTGAGCGACATTGATGACAGCGATCACGGTTTGGCCTGCAGCAAGGACCTTCAACCAGGCGAAAAGGTTAAAGTCCTCGGGATATGCTGGCACCCCGCTCAGGACGTGTTTCAGTTCCGCATTTCCTGCCCTCCCTCTGTCTCGATAACGAAGAGATCGATTCTCTCGAATATCGCGCAAATATTCAATCCGTTGGGGTGGAGTGCTCTGGTCACAATAACGGCAAAAATCTTTCTTCAGCGACTGTGGCAATCACAGCTCGACTGGGATGACCAATTTCCCACCGATCTCGCTGATGAGTGGGAAGTTATTCGGGCGTCACTCCTGTCACTTGATGGCCTTCAGCTCGATCAATGGGTTCGACGCGGATCGGATACGACGGCCTGCGAGCTGCACGGGTTCGCGGACGCGTTCTCTCAGGCGTATGCAGCCGTGGTTTATCTGAGGCTTCTTTCGATCTCCGGAGAGGTCTCCTCGATGCTCCTCGTCGGAAAGTCTAGGGTCGCGCCCGTTAAGTCACTGAGCATTCCGCTGTTGGAGCTCGCAGCAGCAGTACTGCTCTCCAGATTAATGGAGTTCGTGATCACGTCCCTCCACCTTTCCGAGGTTCCGTGTTACTGCTGGACGAACTCCACGGTCGTCCTTGCGTGGGTTACGCAACATCCGTCAAGGTGGCGAACGTTCGTGGCAAATCGCGTCGCGGAAATTCAGACCCGACTTCCCTCCGCTTCGTGGCGACACGTGCCCACCATCGACAACCCCGCCGACTGCGCGTCTCGCGGAATTTTCGGGCATCAGCTCGCATCCCATCCGTTGTGGTGGCATGGTCCATTGTGGCTTAGGCTTCCGATCTCCGACTGGCCGGTGACTGTCGACCCTCACCCTGAGACCTCAATGGAACAAAATGTAAAGACGCAGGTTCTCGTCGCGATGCCGAGAGACCCTGTCTTGTGGGACCTCGCCGCGCGCCACTCGTCGTGGCCGAAGCTAATGCGCATTACCGCTTACGTTATGCGATTTATCTCGCGTACTCGCGGACGTATTACTTTGCCGGCTGGGCGCGTCGAGAGTCCCTCATCCTTGACGGTTTACGAAATTCAACGCGCGACGAACTTTTGGGTAAAAACCATTCAAGCGGAGCTATTCGCGCGCGAGCTGACCGCGCTTCGAAGAGGAGACGCGCTCTCGTCAAAAAGCGTACTGTTGCCTCTCGCGCCGTATTTGGACGAAGATCAAATAATTCGTGTTGGTGGGCGGTTGTCGCGGGCGCCCATCCCGGCTCACGTCAAACATCCGATCGTTCTCGCGTCCCATCCTCTCGTCCAGCTCCTCATACAGGATATTCACAGGCGATATCTCCATGCCGGCATCCAGCTTACTCTGGCTACGCTGCGGCGAAGGTACTGGGTGATCCGAGTTCGCGGTGCGGTCAGATCGGTCATCCATCGGTGTGTCGCGTGCACTCGCGAGCGAGCTGCCGTCCCGACACAGCTTATGGGGAACCTCCCGCAATTCAGAGTCTCTCCTCCCGCGCGCGCATTTATTCACTGCGGAATGGATTATGCCGGCCCGATACTAGTTCGAGCGATGTCTGGGCGCGGAGTGGCCTCCCAAAAGGCCTACACCGCCATATTCGTGTGTATGGCAACGCGCGCAGTACATTTGGAGTTGGTCGAGGGGTACGCCACTCCGGCATTTTTGGGGCCTATTCGCGATTCGTGGCTCGACGGGGTCTTCCGACGGCGGTGTACTCCGATAACGGGACCACCTTCGTCGGAGCGGACCGCGAACTCACAGTCGCGTTTAGAGCGGCTCTTCGCGATCCCGTGTTTTGAACAGGACGGCTTCGGACAATGTCGAGTGGCATTTTCTGCCTCCCTCAGCCCCTTATTTTGGCGGCCTATGGGAGGCCGGTGTACGAAGCGTGAAGCACCACATTCGCCGGGTGGTCGGAGCGCACACGCTGACGTTCGAGAAGTTCTCCACGCTTCTTTGTAACGTCGAGGCATGCCTCAACTCTAGGCCCATAGCACCGCTCTCCGACTCGATAGATACATACGATCCGCTGACCCCGGGCATTTCCTCATTTGTGCTGCTCTTAACTCGAGTCCGGAGCCTTCCCTGTTACAAGTAAAAAAAAATCGCCTTTCTCGATGGCAATTGGTTCGGCAGCTCACCGAGCGTTTTTGGAAGTTGTGGCAGAGCGATTATATTAACATGGTAATTTCGTGTTAAATTAAGTGTAAGTAAAAATAAGCGTTACAGGTAAGAACCCGCTTTTTCAAAACAACTTGTTATTCCCCGCCAGTGAGGCAAGGACAGCAGTTATCAATATTGATCGGTATGAGCCATCAGCCTTTGACCGCGTGATTTTGGTTCCTTCACTCGGTCGGAAATCAATACCGGCCAATCGTGAGTCTTCGCAAAAACGAGCGTCCCCTCCAAGAGGTTCGTGTCGAGATCTCGCGCCTCTGCGAAGAACGCCCCGACTCTAAGCGTTCTCTTCTTCGTCAAACTGTAAAGTTAGCGACACCGAAAATCAGAACGACTACAGATCGGTTGAGTAATTTCGGAAATGACTTCTAAGACTGAACGTGCACTCGATAAATAAAGTAATTTGTGATACTGCATTAAGAGTGTTATCTCTCGAAAGTCCTCTTGTCATCGCAAATACTTGGTCTCGCTGAAAACTACCGGTGCTCGCTACGACGGTTCCGTGTTGCCTGACCACGCGTGTCACGATCGGCAATCTCACGGATCCAAGGGTGGCTCGCTCTCTGTCGCCCTCTCAATCAGCTGCTCAGTCCTTCGCGCTCTTTCTGAGCGAGACCGGCGTCCGCGGTCAACGCAAAGAAAAAAAAAGGGGGAAACCCACTTCGCGTACGCAACAAGAACAAAATCACCAGGAGACCCCATCCAAAGAGAACTTTTAAGATCTCTATACCGGATAGAGCTGAATGAGAAAATAATCTCATTCTCAGCCGTCTGGGCCATGATGTGTGGTATACAGACGGTTCAGGGAACAATGGTCGCTTTGGTGCGGGCATATATGCCCCAAAGAATAACTTTAGATTGAGCATTCCTATGGGTGGAATGGCCACGGTTTTTCAGGCTGAGATCTTGGCCATCCTGGAATGCGTCAAATCTATAACCATAACAGGAACTGGCAACAAGGGTATAACTATTTGCACCGACAGCCAAGCTGCCCTTGGCGCTCTTGCAAAGCCCACCACGGAATCCTCCCTGGTATGGGACTGTATGCAAGCACTAAATCATCTCGGGGAACACAACAAGGTTACCCTGATGTGGGTACCGGGTCATCATGGAGTTCGAGGCAATGAGGAGGCGGATGGCCTAGCAAAAGCGAACACCCTCGAGGACCCTGCTGAGCAGATTGTCGGCGTCCCATATATGCCTTGGGCAGAAACACCATCATCAAACAGCTTGATCAGAGGCACCGTTTTTTGTGGAAGGAAAGGCGAAGCTGTAGGCAGGCTAAAATGATGATCGGGGGGGCGGCCAGTCGGCATGGGAAACCAGCATCCTGGCCGTCCCCCATTAACGTCCGTGAAGGTATCCGCAGTGGGTTTAGTAAGGTATGTCTTGGGCCCCCTGACCGATCCATTCGTGGATCGGCCAAGGGGAACAAGAAGTCCCACATAACCATCCGCTCTCTTCCCGGAGAGCGGTGGTATCCATGAGGATTCCCACTGCGTTAAAAAAAAAAAAAAAAAAGGCTAAAATGATGATGAGTCAACCATTAAAGGAAAGAGCAGATGAACTCTTAACTCTCAGCAGAGCGAGACTGAGACTAGCTCTCGGTTTTCTCACTACATACGTCGCCCTTCGAGCTCACTTGTTCATATTAGGTTTAGCAGCGCAAATCACATGCCGGCTATGCGGGGAGGATAAAAAGAATGCTATACACATCTTGTGTCAATGTCCTGTCTTAACCTTTAAAAAATACAGGTACCTAGGGTCTACATTAATTGAACCTAACAAACTGCAGAACAACAAGGTCAATAACCTGTGCAATCTGGCGATAAACGCCGGTCTAAGCCTACAGGGATAACCTTTCACCAATGGGGAGTTACAATGGAACTCATAGATCTAGGTAACTTTAGGGACCCCTTTTGGTGGTACCACCCACTCTACCTACTACTATTACTACTACTACTACTATTTGAAATATATGCGTAACAAAAAAAATATAGTTCTTATTAATACATCTTTACAGCATATAAATATAATAAATATAATTTACAGCGGTATTCGGTAATGTCCCCACGATAAGGTGTCCGTCGAATCAGATACGATATACCGCTTGTTGTCGTAAGGACTTAAAACAATTTTCGTCTCGCTGATGGTATACACTTTATGCAATTTCGATCTTATACACGACTGCTGTCGCGTCATTTCAATCTCGTCGTTGAGGCAGCGCATATAATCGTCGAACGTTATCGTTCTCGCGACGACATTACTTTTCATACCTTTTGCCTTTTTAGTGTCTTTTTACCATCCACCCATCATGCAAAGTATACATTTTTGCTCTAAGCCCGACGAATTTGGTCATTATCGTACCGTTATTCTCATCTTTCATCAGACCCGGTACTTTTTTATTCTCAAACGGCATACCGTATGCATTATTCGCAGCGTAATCGCTTGTATCAAATCTGGCGATATCGCGTTTCACAGTTTCATAGACATCTTGGCATTTAATTTGATATATTAAACTGTCTGTGTCGGTGTACACTACTCGACAATTGTCACGATAGAGTAGTGACATGTATTCATGGTGGAATTTATAAAGACATACTTTTGATATGTCAAGTATGCACATCCCGACATAGATTGGTTTATAGATTTTAACTTCGAGTTTGCGTGGTTCTACGGCAACCAATTTTTCCGAAAATATGCTTCTACTATGAAAATTCAGCTTCGCGATTATTGCCTCCGCGCCGTATCGTCTGTCCCATTTTGTTATTAATTTTACATCCACATGATTACGCACATTTTCCATCGTCTTGCCGAATATCGCATTATTTTTTAATTTATATAAATGTTTTTCAAAATCATTTTTCGCTTCGGTTCTAAACTGTGTGTTAAGTTCGATGTATTTTCGAAGCCACGTTGACTGCGTGAATTGTAGTATGCGGTATATTTTTGTTATGCGTAGCCCGTGGCGCGTGCACTGCTGCAGATGACGATAGTGTATTACGTAACGCTTCTTATCGTAAAGCGTTGCGAGGAGTTTATACTCCCGCTTGCCGGGCGGCTTATCGCGCGTCGGACAAAACGGTAGGTCAATGTGCGTGTCATGAAGATGCTACGGATACTCTAAATCTACTTCGAGGATATAACCTGTAGGCGAATCTTGCGCGATAGATGATACGTCGAAATTCGACACATCGTCGACCTACCGAAAATCAGCATACGGCAATTGCTGACACATTGCCCATCCGTACAAATTATTCACATCAAAGTACATTAGGTAGGATGAGGGTTTCGATGGATCGTACAATTGCATGTATTTGTTATTAGCATGCACGTATCGACCTGAACATTGACTAAAACCGCTGCGTATATCCCGCTCGATAAACATAACCATGTCAATATCTGTTAATAATTCGAATTTTATATTTGTGTGTTTTAACATGGCGTCCCATGTATATCCGGGGAGAGTTAGTAATACGCGGGGTCGAGTCCATAACTTTTTATACAACTATCACAAAAATTTTCAAATATGTCTGCCAATAACAAGACATCAATTTTTTAATATAAATCGCTATATTCGCCTAACGTTCGAAGGAAGAATCTGTTTCAGACATTCTCGGCGTGCGCGTAATCACTCTCGGATACAGTGTCACCAGTCAGAGAGCTGTAAAATGATTCACGCGGCGATAAACATGTATCTTGCAATCTGTCCACGCAGTCTATATATTCGTACGAAACCACGCTCTTCCGTGTCAATAAATTGAACATATTTGCCAATAAATTTTGGAATTCCGATTGTAAAATTTTTAATTTATCTTTATTCAAAAAAGACGCCAGTTTGTCGAGACTAGCGCTGAGAAATTTACACAAATCGATAAAGCGTAATTTGATATAATTTTTCAAATTATTGTCTTGCGTCAATCTAACAGTTTTCAAGAATGATATATATTTTTCCTTCGTTATCAGCAGTAATTCGATTTCCCCTTCGAACACTGTGGCTATGTCCTCAATAATAAAATGCGCGTCGTAGCCGGACAGATTGTGAAAGACTATAGGAATACAAAAAGATTCTTTGTAATTTAAGTTACAATTTGAGTGCGCGGGACCCCTATACCGCCCGGTGAGATGGCAATGATTGCGAACACGTGTATCGTCTTCGTCAAATGGTTTCTCACAAATGTGACAATGTGTCGCGCTGCGAAATTTTAACCACTCGTCAGGCGTTAAATTTACCATGGGGACATTGGTCGTTAAAATATTTTTTACGCGGATTGCTAAATTTTTAAGCTGTTCAGCGAACCACGCAATGCAATCGACACTACGGCGGGAATTATACGCGGATAACGAATTGTCAAACGAACACTGTACGTAATACGCGATGCTGAATACTTGATGGTGTTGATAATTTTTGGCATCTTCGGTCTTTGCCAAAACACACTCCAGATCGGCGTACACGATGAACAGAAGCCGCTCCTTTCTCGTGTAATTTTTGAAGCTAAGCCACTTGTTCTTGTTGCTCGACAACCGGATAGCGCAGTCGTTTAGTTTTCCGCAATCTTCCGTATGCGCCTGCAATTTATCCGCCGCTCCGAAATAGTGTAAACATCTGAAAATATTAAAAATTTTAATTAAAACCATTTTTTTTTAATATAATTTAAGTTTAATAAATATATACTTACCAATCGCAGATAAATTTTTTATGAGCTTTTTTGCTCAGTTGCGAGCTCACGAAGCAAAACAGATTCTTTATGCACGTGAAATGCCCCACTCTGTGTTTGTCCTCAACGTACAGCAGATTGACGTGTTTGTCTTTCTTTTTTCCGAAAGACGTAACGGAACGATGTTCTCGTTGTCGATGATGTACACGTTTACGGAGATGTCGTTTGCCAGTTCAAAGTTTTTTATTTGATTCACAGTCACTGGAAACTCAATGTTTTGGAGATTCAGCACTGTGGTGTAATGCGGATAGAAGAATTCCCGATCCACATGTATATCAGCGGGGTAAAGAGCGGCCACCACTGATCATGCAAAACACGCATTGTCCGTTGATAACAACCGCTTTCTTTGCCATTACCAATTTTTTGCGGTAATTTGATACGACATCCCGCGCGCATTGAATTGTACTTGTTGATATTCACAGTTAAATCTATTATCCGCGACAATGCCCAGCCGCTATCGCGTTCCTGGAACTCTTCTAGCGATGCTAGCGTGGGCTCGATAACGCGGTGCTCGTACCACTCGCGTACATCAGACGTGCAAAAGAGTTCAAAGTTTCTCGTGTTGATATTTTTATTGGCGCGCTTGTCACCGGACACAAACTCGCCATTGAAAACAGTGTTCACCTTCACACTGATGTGTTTCTGCAGCACATTCTCCACGTTCTCCACTACAATGTCTGCGGCATTTTCCAAAAATTAACGCGGTTCGATATAGTCTGCATTAATTACCACACCGGTCAGTATACGGCTATCGAACGCCGTATCGATCTCGCGCCAAACGAGTCTTTGCGCGTTATTGCCGCCGCCACTGAATCCAGGCATGGATCCACTAACATACCGTCTCTGCAAGCGCACCTTTGCACCCTCGAGTCGCGCTATTCTCGTCACCAGAGATTGCCTATGTCCAATCGAGAGACATAGATGCAGCCATTCGAAATATTCGCCCAAGGTGGCGACTTGGCGGGAACGCTCCAACAGGTCGCGCTCAACATTCTCCGCGTTCTCCATTTTTATTTGTCACTTTTTCACACTGTATTACTACTTGTGATCACTAAACTTTTTTTCTTGCAGACCAAATTTAAGCGTGCGCTCTCGTGGTCACCATACTATGACCCGGCAGCAGCATCAGCTCTCATTATATATCCCGTTCAACCCTTTGTTCTTCAACGTGCGATGATGCAATTGTTAATTTGCAAGAAATTTATAAGAGAAAATCTCGAACACAGATCAACTTAATTTTAATACAAATTTATCACAAAAAAGAGATCGGTGAAGAGTCAACCACGACCTTTCCTTGATAATATACTTTTAAAAAATGTAATTAAATTTCATTAAATAATGTTACTTGAAATTTTTAAGACAATTGTTTCTTTATGTTTCACAAAATTAATTTTTTTGTTGTCAAATATTTTATATATTTTCGAGAATTTTGTTAATTGAAGATCAATAATCGACAAGATAAGACTTCTAATTTCAGGTCAGCAAAGGCCAATAAAACATAAAAAAAGAAGAAAAAAATTTTGTATTTTTACTTACCACAGTTTCTTATCCAAATATCAAATCTTTCATCAG